CAAATGGCACTTTGGGAATTAGAGGGTTAATATTCTGCTATAAAAGGCCTGATACGAATTACGGCAAAAGTTCAGAGTTTAAACCGACATTTACGGCGTCAACAAACCGTTTTAAAGCCTAGAAAAGATTTTAAAGCTTTTAAAAGTTCCTCATAACAACATAAACAAACTGTTTTCTCTTCGCTGCTGGAACGATCTGGGAAACTTCTCACTGATGTTTTCCTTGTAAAAGGTCAAACTAACGTGTCTCCGTGTGAAGACGAGCGACTCGTCGTCGTCGTCGGGATGTTTTTTCCGTCCGTCTCTTGATTTTCGTGGAACAAAACAGAAGTGGCCTAACTAGCCGCCGCCGCGCCGACAGTCTGTCACTTCCTGTAAATGAGATCCAACCAGCTGTCACATCAGCACAAAGCCTTTCTCATCCCCGTAATGAAACATAAATCCGTCTTCTCTAACTTTTTGTTGCTTCTGTTTTTTCCACAACTTAAAGTGTCGAGGTGACATTTTGGAGGATCACAGTTGATTTTCTGTCGAACACGTGGCCTTCTCTCTGTTCCTGGAGACGTCTCAGACTTTTTTTCTGATTTTATTTTATTTTGCCGCCATCAAACGGCCGACGGGAAGCAAACGCTTTTTAAAGAAGCGAGCTGACAGACGAGAGAGAGAGACGAGGAGAAAACCGGAGGACGATGTGACGGAGAGGTCGGGCCAATGAGACTGAAAATAAATCAAACGGGCTGCGTTTAGCGGCGGCGATCAGCTGACAGGCGACGCCGCATCCGATTGGACGGCTTTGATTTAACTAACTTTAATGCTAAACTCATAAATTATTCAAAGCGCAGATGTAAGAAGGTAAAGTTTATTTATACGCCTCTCAGAAGCCGACGGTGTTCGACTAAACAAACGCATCAGACGGAGAGTTTGTGTTTTTATAAATGTGAAAATCAAAGAGCTTCAGAAGACGTCCTGTCGAGTCGAGTCAAGCGAAGCGATGCAGATTCCTGAACGTCGGTCGTGTGCGATGTGTGGCGGCCCTGAGATCTCACCATCTGCTCAGGGTCTGCTCAGCGTCGAGCACTTCGGTATCGGCAGAAGGACGCTGGTGTCGGCACGTCGAAGGCCTTTTTTTTGTTTTTCAAGGATCCTCACTGAATCTATTTGCTTCGAGCTCGTCTTTCGCTTTAACTCTCTGATCCCTAAAAAAAAAAAAAAACCTGCCTGCAGCTTCCAAAACACACAAAATTACAGCATTTATCAGACAGAAGCTGCAAAAACCAGAAAGAAATCAGACTGTGGGACTCGCTGTGTCTGGAAAACCGAGCGAATCTCAGCTGAACACGGCGACGCTTCACAAAATCACTTCATGCTGCATGATTTGACTGAAAATCGACAAAAAGAACCTTTTGATTTAACCAGAATCTGCCAAACACTAAGAAATCTGCACACATCGACACAACAGGAAGGCCTCTAGGTGGCGCCCAACAGGGAAGAGATTCAGGGATTTTCGGTTGAACTGCAGACAGTGTAGAAATTAAAATTATTATGATCTCATTTACCCAGTTTTCAGGCTGAACTGCAGGCAGCGTTTCCACAGAAAAAATGAAGAAACTCCAACCTACTGGATCAATATATGAATGCAGCATGGATCAGAACCAGAGAAAAGAGGAGCCAGTTGTTGGAGATACATTCAGCTGATGGTGGAACATCTTTCTACATCTGATGGTGGAACATCTTTCTACATCTGATGTAGAGGCTAAAACATGGAGATATTTATACTCAAAGTGACTCAAACTTGGTCCAAAATGACTTAAGATTTGGCCAAAATGGTTGAAAAAAATGTCCAACCTGCAAAAAAAATGTGTTGCAAATGACTCCAAACCTGTTCACAATAACAGTAGATCCAGTTAAACATCTATAGGATGTGAAGTCTCCATGTTTGTCCAGTATTTGTTAGTCATGGGTCATTTCAGACAAAATCATGCATTTTGACAAATTTGAGTAATTCTCGATGATTTTTGGACAAATTAAAACTCATTGTGGACATATTTTGAGTAATGTTGGAAAAACTTTGAGTCGATTTCGACAAACTTTTCTCATTTTGAACAAATTCTGAGTCGTTTTGGGCTTTTTTTTATTTAAACGACCTGCGACTGTCCTCGTAACGTCCACTGTTTGGTCCAACGTCACATTTAGCTGCTCAGAGTTTCCACAAAGTCTCACGTGGAAACAAACCAAAGTGTCCTGGACGGAGATGATTAGCAAAATGTGCTTCAGGCTGCATGAGGATTCTGGGTAATTTATGTTTTTGTGGCTCAATCAAAGAAATCCAATGTTTGTTTTTACTTTTTCAGGATTTACGGCGTTCTAGCTGACTTATAGGACACACTTTAGCTCACGGTTGTTGTTTTTCCATTGAGGACTTTATGTTGTCGTGAAAAACGAGCCACAGTGAAGAAAAACGTGACGACAAACCACCAAGAAGCTGTTTGGAGGTCAGAGGGTTCATGGACATCAACATGTTGTTGTGTTTCTCTTCTGAACTCGTCATTAAAGTCCAAACCTGTAGGAAACACGGAGATAAAGATGAAAACATGGACAGAATGCAGCCGGAGCATGTCTGGAGAGTTAAGGAGCTTGATTCATCCGAGAGCTTCAGGCAGCGACGAGACAGAAATGATGATAAAATAAAACTGTAACAGAACCAGAGAGCAGCTGCACCTTCATTCCTGTTTGCAGCCGTTTGCATGAAGACGTGTTTCTCTGGATCACTCGGTGTGGACGATCCTCAGGTGAAGCTCGGCGTGTGATTGAAGCCATCGAGCTTCGACACGCGTGTCCCTCCGTTTCCTCCACGGCTCCGTCTGCTGCCTCCAAACGTTCTATAAGTAGAACCTGGAGCAGATGGTGGCGTGTTTCTGCTGCCTGTCACGTATAGACCATGTACAGCAGCCAGGCTTTTACATGTTGATGTCCATTAACCCTCTGAACTCCAAACAGCTTCTGGCTGGTTTGTTGTCACGTTTTTCTTCACTGTGGTTCGTTTATCACCTCAACATGACGTCCTCGATGGAAACAGAACAACTACAACGAACTCACAAGTGTCCCACAATGCTGGAAATCCCCAGAAAGAAAAATTTATCAGAATTTCTTTGATTATTTGAGTTATGAAAACATAAAAACCCAGAATCCTCATGCAGCCTGAAGCACATTTTGCTAATCATCTCCATCCAGGACACTTTGGTTTGTTTCCACATGAGACTTTGTGGAAACTCTGAGCAGCTAAATGTGATGCTGGACCAAACTGTGGACGTTATGAGGAGTCGCAGGTCAGTTTAATTAAAAATAAGTGACCAGACCAACTCAGAATTTGCTCAAAATTAGTGAATCTTGTCGAAAATGACTCACAGTTTTTCCAATATTGCTCAAAATTTGTCTGCAAAACGCTTTAGTTTGTCAAAAAATCATCCGAAATGACTCGAGATCTAAGAATACTGGACAAACATGAATCGTAAAGACGTATAATTATATCTACTTTAACTCTGAACATGTTTTGAGTAATTTTGAACATTTTTTTTCATCATTTTGACAATTTTGGGGCAAATCTGAAGTCATTTTGTACCAAATTTGAGTCGCTTTGAGTATAAATATCTCAATGTTTTAGCCTCTCCAGACTCACATCTCCAGAAAGATGTTCCACCATCAGCTGGATGTATCTCCATCAACTGGCTCCTCTGTTCTCTGGTTCTGAGCCGTGCTACATTTATCTATTGATCCAGTAGGCTGGATTTTCTTCAGATCTCGTCCAAAGCAACGTAAAACATGTCCAATGTTACTCAAAATTTGTCAACGGAAGGACTGATTTGTCAAAAATGTCTGATAAATCATCCAAAAATACACAAAAAAGGCCTAAATGACTTGAAACTTGCCCAACATGACAAAAAACGTCTGAAATGTCTCGAAAATTGTCCAGAATTAGTCAAAATTGGTCCAAAATGACTCAAGATTAATAGAAAAAGAGTTAAAACTGAGTTTCAAGTTCCGTCATTTCTGTTTCTTTGTCCTGTAAACGTCAACAGTCGAAGAAAAACTAACAACTGTTGGTTTCAGGTGAAGTTTTTATCAACTAACGGACCCACGAACCCGCCGAGCGGCTCGTTACTGCTGATCTGCTGCAGAGGTGACGGTGGAGCCAGAAGTCGGCCGAGCTCATTAGGAGCAAACGTCTTCCCGACGCCGGCTTTTTATCTCGACTGTACGCCGAACCTAAAGAGTCGTTAAAGCGCCGCCGCCGCCGCCGCTCGCGCTTTAATTAGGCTCGCTCTGATCATATTCTAAGTGGAGTGGATTTTAATTACAGCCGGCAAACAATCAGCTTTACAATCAATTGGAGTGTGTGTGTGTGTGTGTGTGTGCGTCAGCGTTGTGTCGGAGGGGTCACCGCAGCACAGTCAACCAAAGAAACAGCCACTTACCGCTACGATAATAGCTATTTGTCGCCGCCGGCAACTGCGGATCAATACGGCTGCCTGGCAACCAAACATTTAATCAGATATTTATATCATTGTGATTGACAGAAGTGGAACTCAATCACACACACACACACACACACACACACCCGGACAGCGCGGTGTGTTTATTAATATTGATGCCAGTGTGTGTGTGTGTGTGTGTGTGTGTGTGTGTGTCCTCGGAGTTGATGCTTTATTCATCAAAGGCAGGAAAACCGAGCGAATCGCACGCGTTGGAGGTGAAAAAGCAGCACGACGACGGCGGCGATGCATTCAAAGGGGGGGAAACTTTAGAAACTCCTCAGACAGCCGCTCACCTCCACCGCCTCGTCTTCCTCCGCCAAAGAAACACTTTGACCCCATTTATTGCTCGTCTCAAAAAAAAAAAAAACGCAGATAAAAATCAAAACCGCGAGTTCAAAGATACACCTACAGCTCCTCCAATGACAGGATCAGAATGCTCAATATCGACCTGATGAATGGCTCCGCGGACGCCGGCTGTCAGGAATAAAAATGACAGACGGTTGTAAGGTGTCCTTGCACACAAAAAAAGAAAAAAGCCAAATGTACCGGCGGGAACAACGTACAGAACACAACAGGGTGTCATTTAAATGTCACGTTACTCTAAAACACAGCCCCGCCTTTAACAACAGACCTATTTTTAGTATTTTCTCTCATGAACAGAAACTTCACAGAGACTATGTTGAAACTTGAGTCTCCTTCTAGCCACAGTGTTTCCATCGAGGTGCAGGACTCTGTATTAGTGAAAGACAAAACCATAGTGGGTGAAAATGTTACAGGAGCAAAGAAACGGTGAAGGACTGCCTCAGGTTTAGGGGTTAACTCAGTGGAGCGGCCAAGCTGGAGCCCATTCTGTGGCAATCTGGTGGGTTTTTTTTCTAAAGCTCGACTGGCTGCAGAATTCACGGGGACGGATGTGAAGATGTGAAACTCTCCACAGCTCACCTCTGAAAAAGACAACAACCCTCAGCTGCTCCCACTTGACTGATGCCGGCCCGACCGCCGCAGCTATTTACACTCTAACTTCCTGTCGCCGAATCCATTTGCGGCTGACTGATGGCGAATGATCGCCGCTGACCATCGCTCTCTCTAATGCCTCCGCGGCTGATAACCGAGGCAATAAAACCAGATCCAATCCCACTGACCATTACTGACATCAGTCTTCCTCTGTAGTTTACAGTGGCAGGTCCCGTTGACGGTCGCCGTGGGAAACACATCCAGCATCTGTTCGGAGAGCCTCATCTGGATCAACAACAAGACAGGTACTGATACCCGACATCTAGTCATAAACACCTAATACCAAACATCTGATACCCAACAACTGATAGTAAACATCTGATACGCAACATCTAATAATAAACACTTCATACCCAACATCTCATAGTAAACACCTGATACCCACCAACTGATAACCAACACCTGATACCCACCAGCGGATAATAAACATCTGATACCCACCAAGTGATACCCAACATCCGATATCTAACATCTGTTACCCAACATCTGATACTCAACACCTGATACCCAACATCCGATACCCAACATCTGATATCTAACATCCGATATCTAACATCTGTTACCCAACACCTGATGCCCAACATCTGATACCCAGCAACTGGTGGTAAACATTTGATACCCAACTGATAGTAAACATCTGATTCCAACATCAACATCCTTCCCATCAAAATCCAGACTTAATCCTCATGCTCCCTCGAGATAACGAGCTGTTGTCTTGGATTACTATCTCATGATCACAAATTAATTATCTCCACACAGTGTGTATGTCACTGGGTTTTGCTTTGGAGGAATAAATCTCTTTTTAGTCCCGTTTTTGCAGCATGAAACAATTTTGGTAAATAAATCTGGCTCTGCTTCACGTTCTTGGACGATAAAACTAGTTTAGTTTTTGAAGGAGATTTCTCTGTTTTTGGAAAATAAAGCTTGTTCTGATTTAGTTTCTTGACAATACGAAAAATTCCGGTTCTGTTTTTGAGGAATAAATCTCTTTCTAATTCCGTGTTTGAAGCATAAATCTGTCTTGGTTCCATTTGTGTAAAATAAAGCTGGTTCTGCTTTAGGGTTTTTTGAAAATAAAGATACTTGTGGTTCTGGTTTTGGAACATAAAGGTTAATCCGACTCAGTTTTCTGGTTCTGCTTTTGACTCAAACTGCTGCTCCAACATCTGATACCCAACGTCTCGGTAAACTCCCGAATAATCGTCGTGTTTCCTCGAGATAACGGCTCGTTATCTCGGGATAATTATCTCATGATCACTAATTAATTATCTCCACACAATGGATTTGCAGTTTAAAAATAAAGAAAGCTGAAGCTCACAGGTGTTTGTCTTTGAGGAGAAGCTTCTCTCACTGCTTTTCGTTTTCTGGTCTGTCAGCTTTGGGAATAAACACGTTTTTGAAGAATAAAGCTGCTCCGCGTCTCTTTATGTCGGATGAAGTTCATTCTAGGACACTTTTTTTTGTTTTTTTTTAATTCTTCGGGTGCTTTTATGAATAAAACTTGTTCGTTTTTTAATGTTGCGAACACGTCATTCTGGTTCAGCTTGTCGACGGATAAAGGTTCCACTGTTCCCTTTGTTTCGTGGAGAATAAAGCTTCCTCTGGATCTGTTTTTGTAGAAACGGAAACAGCTCTGCTTTGGTTTGCAGAGAGCGAAGCGAAATCCGCTTCTTGTTTTTTCAGAGAATCAAACTCGTTGTTTTTTGGGAGAAAACTTGTTTCTGTTGGTGGAAAATAAAACAGTGTTAGGATGTTGTAGGAAAACAAAGCTGCTTTTGTTTTTAGAACACAGATTTTATAGAATAAAACTCTACTGGGTTCCATGTTTTGGTCGTTCAACTTCAGTTTCTTGAACATAAAACTATTTTGGGGTTTTGTTTTTGAGTCAGTTGTTGGAAAATAAAGCTCGTTTCACTGATTCGGTTTCATTCTCCATCTGTTTTGTTGAATTAAACTAATTCTGCTTCTGGTTTTATACCAGTCTTTGCAGCGTAAAACCTTCCTGGGTTCCATTTGTGGAAAGTAAAGCTGGTTCTGCTTTAGGTTCTTGGAGATTGAAGCTTATTCTGGTTTAGTTTTTGAGGAAGAGATCTCTGTATTTAGAAAATAAATCTTGTTCTAATTTGGTTTCTTGAGAATAAGAATAATTCTGGTTCTGCTTTTGAGGAATGAATCTCTTCCTATTTCTGTTTTTGCAAGGTTCAGAGTTTGAGAGAATAAAGATGATTCTAGGTTTGTTTTTGAACAAGTGAGCTCTGTTGTTGGGAAATAAAACTTGTTCTGGTTTTGTTTTTGAGGAATAAATATCTTTGTATTCCTGTTTTTGCAGCACTAACCTGTCTTGGGTTCAGTTTTGGGGGAAATAAAGCTGATGCTACTTTAGTTTCTTGAAGAATAAGGCTGATGGTGGTTCTGTTTCTAAGAATTAAACTTTTCTATTTCCATTTTTGCAGCTTTAAACTCTGTGTTTCTGCTCCTGGAGAGCAGATCTTGCTCTAATCGGGTTTATTAGCGGCTGACAGTTGTAATTTCAGAAGCAGATTCAGGTTCAGGTACAACTTCACCTACTTGCAAAGTGCACAAAGAAGTTCAGAACGAGTGGAGGAAGTGGGCCACGCTCGGGTCAGCAGCTACTTTCCCTCCTTGTTTTTCTCACCTGGCTGTTCAGACAAAACTCTGAAACTCGCTACAAGCTGGCGAAGCTAATTTTACCGCCTCGGAGGACGTGATGCTGCTGCTAGCGACACATCGTTAAGAAGGCTGCAGATCTGCCAGCTTGTGTTCAGCTGTTTCTGCAGCCTCTGGTGTTTCCAGATGTAAAGAAAGAGACTTTTGCTCACATGCTGGTAAATCAATATTATTCAACATCAAAACGTCATGAGGTATAAGAATTAAAAACCTGTGAATTTGGTCGTGGTTTATGCAGTGATGCTCCCAGAGCTCCTGCAACACTTCCTGATGATAAATGTGTCGAGCAGCAGCTGTGTTTAAAAGATGTATTACTTCTGTACTTTTACAAAAAAAACTAATAAAACTTTACAAAAAACACAATCTAACGTCACAGGTAGGCTGCAAAATGAATTTTATTATGACAAACTAGCGTATAATTATAAATAAAATAAATTATATTACATATTCATATACATATCCCTTTAAAAATACTTTATTTTTACCATTTTTATTGTAAATTTTTGGTTTTCTGCCCCATCTGCTGAGACTATTCTGTTCTTTTTAGTTTTTTAAACAGTGTTTCCTGCAATGTGAACCATTTGATGATGATTTTATCGCTTCACTGTGTTACTAAGTTTACCTTTTAATATTTGTTGTCATCATTTTTATCCTTATTTCCTATTAAAGTGGCTCCATCTTTCATTTTCTTGACCTCTCGTTCTATCTGGACAGCGTGGTGTCGTCGGCATATTGGCTGACCTTAAACGCAGCTTCTTTCAGCTGATCGTCGGGCGTTAACGCTTTTTTTACGTTTCATCCCAGAAACCCACAGAGTCAGCGAGATGGACGACAACGCCTGGTTGCTCGGCAACATCAACCAAACCGGATACTTCCGCGTCAACTACGACCTGCAGAACTGGAAGCTGCTGATCCAGCAGCTGCACAGCAACCCTCAAGTAAAGCCGTCCGTCTGTGTGTCCGTCATCCATCTGGCCGTCCGTCTGCTTTTCTGCTCATTTTTCTCAGTTTTTAACTCATTTTTTGCTTGCTCCCGTCTCTCAGATCATCTCGATTGGAAACAGGGCGGGGCTTATCGACGATGCCTTCAACCTGGCCAGGTGAGTTCTATCTTGACTCCAAATACCGACATAAAAAGTCCTTTCTTGTGCTGCTTTGACTCGTACGTCACCATCATGTGGGATATTTAGCCGACAGCTCTGAGGAGATGTTGTGTCTGCTGTGGTTTGACAGACTCGGCTGTAAATATAGAAGTTTATATCCGTGGGTTCGGTTCAGACATAAATTTACCTTCACACCGGAGGCTTTGGGTCGGAGCTTTACCAGCTGGATTCCTCCGCCACACGATAAGTGCAGCTCAGGGATTAGCGCCGCCGCCTCGTAGTAAAAGGTTTTCCTGCATCTTTCTGTGGGATGTTTGCATGTTTGCTCGGCATTATTAAACTCAGACATGTGGACGCTCACAACAAACCTCCTGCAGCTTCCCAGGAAACTTTGTTTTGACCTTCTGAACCTCGAAACTCCTCTTCAGGTTTAAAAGGCCTCAAAGAAATAACCAACGTTACCACATTTATCAGAGACAGAAACTGGTTCTACAGGAAGGATTGTTAGAGTTCGAACTTTCAGACAGTGCTTGAATGCATCATGTGTGACATTCAGTCAGGAATATTAACCAAACAAACCTTAAAGTTCTGATATTTCATCAAAACCACTAATTTTATGCGTCTAATTCCAACAAAAAAAAAACAGCTAAACTGAACAATATTTACTAGATCCTCCAAACGGAGACTAAAAAAAGACGAATCATTATATAGTTCCTGGAATTATAAAGTTAAAAGGGACTTATTTTATTTCACTGTAAAAATATTCACATTAAAACTTTTGTATTTTTACAAATTGTAATTCATTCAAATGAAAGTTAACTTTTTTCTTTTTTGATGCATGTAACTAACATAAACTAACAAACTAACATTGTTTTACAGATATTTGCTGTAATTTGAAGTTAAAATTATATTTTTTTACATATTGAAAAGTGGTAAATGATTGTTTTAAAGTTATTTTACATATTGACGGCATATATTGCTCTAAATGTCATTTATTCTTTTAAAATGTTTGACTGTAAAACTACATTTTTTAAAAAATGCATCTAAATCAGAAGAAAAAGAAAAAAGAAGAAGCACATATTTGCTAATATTTTAAAGGAAAATTATGTATATTAGGGACTGAAAATTGTATTTATTTTATTTTACAGATTTTCCCTGTTTTGTTAAATTATAGATCTAGTATCTAATAAAGTCACAGAAAACAGGATAAATGTACACGTTGACTGTAAAAAATTAAAAGAAAAATAATTTAAAAAAAGGTACGTAGTGTCTACATAAGAACAAATATTTTTTAAAATGCTATTTTTTTAATATACATATATTTTTTAACATTTGATTGTATTTATTATTTCCACTGTATAATTATTGCATTTACATCAACCAAAAAATATTATTTTTACAGATATTTGCTGATATTTAAAAGAAAATCTATGAATATTAATATAAGTTATTGTACAGAAAAAACATTTTGAAAAATAAATAAAATATGCATAATGTATGTTGAAGTACGTTATTTACATATTCGTCCTGTTTTTTGTTTTTTTTTCTGTGTAGAATAAAATCTTACACAAAAAGCTCCACATTAAAAACCTGTAATAATACAAACAGTAATTTGTTCCTTTACAATATGTAAGTCAACAATGCTAACTGTATTTAAATTAGCTTAAAAACAAACAAACAAACAAACAAAAGCACCCTTCATTGGTATTATTTCCACAGTATTTTAACATTGTTTTATTCATGTGGCCTGGTTCCTGCCTCCTGTTTACAGTTTGTTTATCTCAGTGTGGACTTGACTCCTGAGCAGGTTTCACATAAAGAGGCTCAGATCTGCCTTTAAATCCCGTGAAGCTGCTTTTCTCGGCTGTAGAACGATGAAGCTGCTCCTCGTCGTGACCGACCGGCTCTAAACCGGCCGGGTCGGGCCGCAGACGGCCGCCGAGCCGCCGTGTGAGCGAGTCGACCTGCGACTGAAGGAGCTGGAGAAGCAGCGTGAGCGGACCGGAGGCCTGTGATGAATGAGCGATCAGCCGGGCCTCGCTCAGGAGTCGTTTCTCATCGTGATGCTTTCAGCCCCGAGCTCTTTGAGCACTGTAACCAAAATCCAGCGTGACACCGACTCTATAACTCAATCTGCCTCCTCGCCGCCGCCGCCTTCGCCGCTATCTGCCTCCTCGCCTCCATCTGTCCTCCGTCATGTCGGATGAGCAGCAGCCGGAGACGAGCTGCGGCGCCGTGATGAGTCGGGCCTCGGCGGGGGGTTTCCATCTGCACGGAAAAAAGAGGCTGCACGTCCATTAATATGCGCCCTGACAGCAGAAGATGCTCGTGCTGCTGCCTGCATCTGTCGCCATGGCAACAGCGCTGCATCGTGGTAAAAAGAAATGTGACCAAAATGGCTCAAAGATTGGTCTAAAATTAGTCAGAATCAGTCCCAGAATGACTCTAAAATGGTCCAAAACGTGTCCTAAATGAGTCAGCATGTCTCTGAAATGACAAAAAAATGACATAAAATTAGTTTTAAATGATTCAAACTTCGTCCGTAATGAAAAATGTCCAGAATGCTTGTCTCAAAAACGGTCCATAATGGTCCAAAACTGGTCTGAAATGAAAGAAATATGTCCAAAATGAGCCAACATGTCTCCTAAGTGACAAAAGAAAATGTCCAAAATGACATAAAATTCATACAAAATTGACTTAAACGTCATCCTTAATGAAAAATTTCCAAAAATGCCTGAAAGTTTGTCTCAAAAATCATCCATAATTGTCCAAAATGTGTCCGA